TACAATAGCTGTGAAAGGTGCAAGGCCAAGAAATCGGCCGGTAGCGGTGTTGGTGGTTCGGTGGTAGAATTCTGGCCTGCCACGCGAGAAGCGCGGGTTCGATTCCCGGCTAGTACAAGTACAGCTATTTTGGTTCAACCCCATGGCTCTCTTTTTCCCTCCCTTCTCTATTTTTCTTCTGCCTTTTTCCAGATTTTCCTTTTATTCTCTTGCTTCCCTTGCTTCTATCTTTCTTATTTTCCTCTTTCTTTCTCACATTTCCTTGGGCTTTTTGTCTTTCCATCTTTCCCAGTTTTTTTTTCTTTTCTTATTTTCTCTTCCTTTCTTTATATTTCTTATTTTTCTCTCCTTCTTACTTGGCTTTTCTCCCGCCCCTCCAAAAAAAAAAAAAACTTGGCCACCCCATTCAACTCCATAAAAGGTTGGTACAAGGAGGAGGGAGGTAAATTGTTCTCCTTAACTTCTGAGGACAGGACGAGAAGCAATGGGCTTAAATTGCAGCCAGGGAGGTTTAGGTTGGACATTAGGAAAAACTTCCTAACTGTCAGGGTGGTGAAGCACAGGAATAAATTGCCCAGGGAGGTGGTAACATCTCCATCATCAGGGATTTTTAAGAGGAGGTTGAACAAACACCTGTCCCGGATGGTCTCGATCATAGAATCATAGGGTTGAAGGAGACCTCAGGAGGTATCTAGTCCAACCCCCTGCTCAGAGCAGGACCAATCCCCAACTAAATCATCCCAGCCAGGGCTTTGTCAAGCCGGGCCTGAAAAACCTTAGTCCTGGCTTTTAAATACTTAATCCCGCCTTGAGTGCAGGGGACCGGACTAGGTGCCCTCTCGAGGTCCCTTCCAGTCCTGTGATTCTGTGCTCCCCCCACCAGAAGATGCTGGCTTCCACCAGGGCAGACCAATGTCCCTGCAGCCACACTTTGTGGAGAGGTATCTCTGTGGTGGGGGATACCCTTGCAGGGCAGGGCTCTGGGTCCCATGGCATGAGGTGCCCTGCAAATAGACACCCTCACACCACCTTTGGACGTATCCATGCAATGTGTGCGTTCCCCCCCCCTACCCCACACCACACACACACATGCATAAGGCTCCCGATCCCCCCAGGCCCAGCGGTGAGAGTCTGGGAAAGGCCGCCCCACCTTGCGTGTCAATATTCCCCCCTTTGATCCAGCTTCTACAAGTGACAAGGTTGCTACAAAGGGAGCCCAAGAGGCTTGACACCTGGAGCCCCAGGGGCGGGGAAGAGAAGCCCCTGGCCAGGAAGGGGAGCAGCTCCCCAGGGGAGACCCCCACACACTCCCAGCCCCAGGGGCGTCTGGGCCACATGGCCTCTAAGGGGCTGGGCTCCAGCTCTTCTCAGGGTCAGGCAGCAGCTGCTCCAGGGAGCGCAGGGAAAATCTGGAGTCAGACCTGTACCAGACACAGAGCGAACACACCAACCCCCAGCACTACTGCCCCTCAGACACACGCTAACGCAAAACACACCCACGGCCCCTCAGACACACGCTAACGCAAAACACACCCACGTCCCCTCAGACTCATGCTAATGCAAAACACAGACACTTTCCCTCAGACACACGCTAACGCAAAACACACCCACGTCCCCTCAGATACACGCTAACGCAAAACACACCCACGTCCCCTCAGACACATGCTAACGCAAAACACACCCACGGCCCCTCAGACACACGCTAACGCAAAACACACCCACGGCCCCTCAGATACACGCTAACGCAAAACACACCCACGTCCCCTCAGACTCATGCTAACGCAAAACACAGACACTTTCCCTCAGACACACCCTACCTTCAAACACTCATAAACACACACATCTTTATGCTCACATACCAGACCCGCAATAACTTGAAATAGACACACTCTTTTTCATACACAGACACAAACACTAGGGTTGCCAACTTTCTAATTGCACAAAACCGAAAACCCTGGCCCCGCCGCTTCCCTGAAGCTCCGGCCCTGCTCACTACATCCCCCCATCCCTCAGTGTCACTGGGCTGGGGTTGGGGTGTGGGCTCTAACTGGGGGGTGCGGGCTCCGGGGTGGGGCCGGGAATGAGGGGTTTGGGGCGCAAGAGGGGGCTCCAGGCTAGGGGGTGGGGCAGAGGGGTTCAGGGTGGGGGGGGCCAGGCTGGGGCAGGGAGTTGAGATGTGGGGGGGG